TGTGTGTGTGTGTGTGTGTGTGTGTGTGTATATATATACACATCATTCAGTAGGTCCGTTAGACAAATGAGGTTTTAAAAACAAACATTGCATGTCCGTTTAACGAGGATCTTATCAAAGAATGATCTTTATTTTTTTTACTGAGAATTAAATATGTATAGGGATTGTATTTCTTTTTTTTATTTGGGATTTTTATGCTATACATTGTATTTCTGAAGAAGAATACAGACATTACAGTGAGAACAAATGTAATCCCATCATTATCACGTTTTGCTTCGATATTTAATCTGCATGTTTCTAAATGCATTTATGTCAATTGAAATGAAGCTGTTATATGAATATTAAACTTTACACTGTTCTAAAATACACTGCTATTATTACAAACACAACAGTACTTGCAGAGAAGGATGACACTGGCCTCAGCTCTCATTGCTCTGCATCTGCAGACTTCATGATACACTCCAGTGGTAGTGCTGACTTGAGATAGGATGCTAAATCAATTGAAACAGAGGCATAAATAACATTGCAATAGAGCCGACTCCATATGCTGTATAAATTTCAGTGTATATTTGTGTGACGACTTGTAAATGGTCGGCTTGATCTGGGTACACATTATATCCCTCAAACATGACTGTTGGTCGTAAATTTCAGGGCTACAAGTTGTTTGAAGAGCTGTTGGGGGTTGGGTTAGTGTAAAGCCTTAACTCTAAGGCTTTACATGTTAACTCTAAGGCTTTACACATACTGTAGTACGATTGCCATTTTGGCAATAAAACAATGCTTTGTTTGTTTCAAAAAGTGACACACAAACATACAAACAGCTAAATCTTATTTAGATTTGAGTCACGTGATTGGCTGGACATCTTAAGCTGCATTGTTTCTGTTTTTTTTTTTCTCTGAAAATTGTTTCCTTGCCTCTGTTTTTGAGATAATTGCCCTGTGAAAATATCCATCATCATTCCATTTTAATTATTCTGGTAAATAGCAGCAATTTATTTTCAAGAATGTCACATAAATTTTGCCATTCATTCATCCCCTGAATTAAGGTGAAAAAAAGCAGCCCTTGCTTGTGTACAAGAAAATCATCTGGTGAGCTCAGCATCCAGACTATTTTTCAAACCGTGCTCTACTGGTTATGCTTGATAAAGGAAGACTGCAGCTTATGTTAACAAAATGTCAAGAGGAGTAAAACATTTATTTCGAGACTACTGGATTCAAAATAAAAGTCCACATCAATTATACCTCTGGTTATATCATACTTTCACTTTGAGAATAATTCAAGTGCATTATGAAAACCCAAGGTTTTATGGAATAAATGGAGTACACAAACTTCAGACTCAGCTTGCATCCCAGAACTTAAAAAGACAGTTGAATTTGAAAACTTCCTTAAACTGGAAGTGAAATACTTTCCTTGGTTCAGAAATTATCTAGGCTGAGTTTAAATCAAATCTAAAATGTTTTGAGGTTTTTTGCCCCAAAAACTACAAAACTGCACAGATATAAAAGAAAATAAAGAGTTAATCTATTTGAGTGTGCTATAAGCTCGTCTTAGAAAGAAAAAAATAAACTAGACACAGGTGAGGGGAAAAAAGGCAAACTCAGTCTTTGAAATATGCCTACATATCTGCAGTGTCATAAAAGAAGACTTGTCTTGGCATCTTACCGGCAAGGCACTCTTTGAGTGACAGAAGGATTAAGAGTTCCCATGGCAACAACATCTTCATTTTCCAAGGTGAAAGATTCCTCTTCTGCCAGACAGTGAAGAACACTTCCTGGGGAAACACTCCCTTTGTCTGAAACTGAGAAAAACACAGAAAAGGAGGCCACATGAACTCTGTGAACATTAGGAGTAGCAATCTCCATCGAGTCTTCAAGAAAAAAAAAAAAAAAAATGGTGTGACATTAATAATTCATTCAACCAAATAACCAGGGCCTGAATCTCATGCTGTGGAGTGAGCTAGCAGCTAATACTGTCGAAGCTGAGATATAGATTATATGTACTGCACTTCCACTATTTTCAAAGAGCAGGTCCGTGACAGAAACTCTAAGCTCCTGCTAAAAGTAGTGTGTAACTTTAGGAAACTAAATAGCTGGTCACATTTAGAACACAATAAATACGAATAGAAAAAAACACAAATAAGGACAGATAAGGTGGACACAGATACACATAAAAAGACTATCAGGTTGTGATTGTGCGGAGACAGAAACTGAAGTTGTTGAAATTAACCAATTATCTAGGAAAAAATGAATGACATGAATCTGTCATGATCGGTTTAAGGAATTGGACCCACATGCGGAAAAAACACTCAGAGAACACAGGAAAAGGTTTAACAGGTTTATTTGATGTAAAGTGAACAGAGGTTGGATCTGGAACTGGAAGGTCTGAAGGGGAGATCACAGAGATCAGTTTAGGGACCGAGCAAAATGAGACTGCGGCTTGAATTATGCTGGAGAGGGACTCACATTTGAGGGGGCTCTTATCAATCCTTGAATTATCCAGAGAAGAGGGAACTCGTTGGGGAGCGGACAGGTAGACATACGTTGGACCCAGAGGTGTAATGGAGCGGACTGTCACTTGGATTTGGGACAATATAGTCTGATGAAGGGTACATTTACAGGTCCTTCAAAAAATGTAGCATATTGTGATAAAGTTCATTATTTTCCATAATGTAATGATAAAACTTGACCATTCATATATTTTAGATTCATTGTACACTAACTAAAATATTTTCGGGTCTTTTATTGTTTTAATACAAACGATTTTGGCATACAGCTCATGAAAACCCAAAATTCCTATCTCACAAAATTAGGTCTAAACGAGCAAAAAGATAAAAAAAAAAAAGAATGAAAAAAACTATGATGAAAATAATGGACATTATGGTCAAAAAGTAAAAAAATAACAGAAAAAACAAATGTGTTATCTTTAGTTGGCCGAAAGAAACCTAATCAAATGTCTACTTTTACAAGTATAGCTGAAGCTGTAAAAACAAAGTATTTTATTTAACAAAGAACAATGTAAGATGAAATGATGTAAAGTGTAAAATATTAAAATTAGAGTGGATCTAATATTACTATGATTTATTTGTAACCTCTTTTTTAAAAATACTTCAAAAATTAAGCTAATTATTGAAATAAAAGCTTTGCATCAGGTAAATTATGGTCTGAACTGTATGAAAGGTGTTAAATTATGCATAGGTTATTAAACCCTTTATAGGGCTACATAAATTGGCCTCATAGTTCTACTATGAAATGGTAAACATCTCTAGGATTATATATTAGCAGGGTACATATTTTTTGACAACCAAAAAAAGGTGTAGAAGATAAAGAAAGATAAATCCTAAAAACATCTATGTAGGTTCTTTGGCATTTATTAACCTTAAATTGTATAGTTAACAACAGTGTTAATAACTATTTATGAGTAAAGTAAAGGCCCTGGAGTGTTCAAACTTAACCTTAAAATGATCATGACTGTAGTAAGTCTTAAATCTGAGTAATTATGTTAAAATTAGTGCTAAAAAAAAAGCAGTCAGCCTTTGAGTTTAGAGGAATCTCATTTGCTTCTTTGAGTATTTTACCATGGCTGGTGGTGCAGCTGCGAGCTTCGTGAACTTAATAAGGGGCCAAATCAGCAGGTCTAGCAACAAACGCTGGCCTGTTATTTTTAGATTGATTGCATGCATCTCCACCCTGTACTACTTTATGTACTGTATATGTAAACTCATACAGCAAATTTATATGCAGTAGCATTTTTCTAAAGAGGATTCAAATATCCAAAAACTGAACTTTTTCGACATATTTCATATATATTATCTTCATATTATATATATATATATATATATATATATATATATATATATATATATATATATATATATATATATATATATGCGTGTGTATTTTCCAAACATGCCAGGAGGGTGTAGGGGCATGGGATCTGAGATTGCACAAATGATTGAAGACTAAATTTGATTTTTGTAAATCCAATACCAAAAATGGGCAGAAGATGGCAAAAGTGCATTTATATCTAGTGTGAATGAGATATTTTTAACTTTCATACAAAGTCAGCTATTGACGAAGGTACAGTTCATCAGCTGTTGCCGTAGCTCCCAGCAAATGTGTAATGTGCGGGACCGCATGAACAGCAGCTTTATGACCAGGGTCTAACTCTTTGCGTAGCACCTCTTTACTGCTGGATGCTTAAAGGGGAAAACCTTTTTTTTTTAACATTGGGCCCTTGATTTTACGTTATTACATCATGTAATACTGACCTATATTAGTTTTGTGTCATTTGGAGTTGTTCCGAAGATATTCGGTTTTGTTATATCCAAGTAATGTCTTCCTATGGGCAACAAGTTGAAGGTACAAACTGAACTGTTCATAATTTATTTTTTATGGCACACCAGCATTCATAACATGTAGGCAAATCACTGTCCCCCAGACATCCGTGGTTATATTTTTTATATTAAAATTTTTTTAAAACAAAGCGGAGTGTGTATGACGTCATCCGAACGCCGGACAGGAGTTGTGACAGGCAGCCCGGGCCACAGGCAACTACACTAGCTAAGTGCATGGAGCAAGTTTGCAGAAGGAGACGTGTTAATCTACCATCATCTGTGGTAGCAGCACTAGACATCTTACAGGCATGTAAGTAAAACTGGTTGCAGTTCAGCGGACAGGATGAAGGAATGGTAGCTGGCGCCAAGGATGAGGTCATTCACACCGTCATACTTGACTTCAGAACAGCTCCAAATGACACAAAACTAATATGGGTCAGTAGAACATGATGTAATAACGTAAAATCAAGGGCCCAATGTAAAAAAAAAAACGGTGTTCCCCTTTAAATAAGCTTTCTGGAACACAACATGCTGGAGTTCATGAACTGCATTGTGCCCACTCCATGCAGTTCCATTCTCTCTATCATCCTTCTCTCCAAACATAAAGTTTAATTTATTTTTTATTTTTATTTTAACACATCTCTCCGTTGAATGGAGCCGTGAATGGAGCAAGGTGACTTTCCGTGTAGAACTTACTGCGTTCCCTGTCTCATCTTAACCGGTCCGGCAGAAGACCGCCATGTTGAGCCTGGTTCTGCCAGAGGTTACTTCCCAACGGGGAGTTTTTCCTCTCCACTCTCGCTTCATGCTTGCTCATCATGGACAGGTTCTCTCAACCTATTATCCAAACTGGACTTCCATCTTCCAGGTCCCTGGGTGAAGCTCTAGTATCAGTTCATGCAATCCACTGGATCTCCCCATTAAGCTTAGCAAACCGTCTCGCTAACCAGCAGTCTAGAGGATGACCAACTTCATCCATCTCCACTCCACCACCAGTTTCAGGCCTGGGGGGAAACAGCCCTATTCTTTGCTCCTGTTCATGCATATCTATCAAAATAAGTGGTATGTTTCCTGCTGAGGTCTGAGTGCCAAAGACAAAGTAATTGTATCAATAAATTTCTCCTAATTGTCTTTTCTCTTTGTGCAAGATTTTCAGATTGAAATGCATTACACACAGTACTCAATCAACAGTATTTTCAAACATTCATATTACAGGTATTGGCATTAAATTTAATTAAGTGAAAAAATATGGCTCTGTTCTGAAGTGTTACCCAAGACATTTGTAAGTATTACCACAGACCTCTATATAGTAATGTAAATATAGCTGAATCAGAGAACAGTAGAGTAAATGGATTTCTTAGTCTGTAAAGCTAAGAACTAAACATACTGTATCCTAATTCAAAAGGAATAATACTACTTATGAAAAAAGGTCAATTTAACTGTCATAATGATTTTGCTGATCTGCAATAAATAAAACATCTATTAGACGTATCTTAATTGTATTTTTTAAACATGTCTAAAACATAAAAATCTAGTCAACCTCAGCTAGGAATGGAAGCTTTTTAAAGTAAATACAACCAAAATTCTTGCTCCATCATGGAAAATCTACCCACCATAGGTCTGAAGAAAGCAAAAAAACAGAATTTTTGGAAAGTTGATATATTCATTCATCTATAATACAAAAGATGAAAGATGGTTCTAAGCTTTAAGCCGTGCATGACAAATGAGAATAACGTCTGACTGAGGGAAGTTCTTCAGTTAAATTCTAATTATGACATTTAATTTGAATTTGTTACCATAATAAAGTAGGTAATGTTCTTAGAACTTTCCCAAGATTGAAAATTACATTAGAAACCGATATGCTTGTTTAAAATGCAAGCAGTTTGTATTACTTTGCATTCATTATGTCCTAAAGTATCTTTTTAGAGCTTCCATATAAGTAAGAAATTGAACTTTTGGATTAAAACAGTAAATTCCCTAAATCACAGAGCCAATAGATTTTAGGTGAGGCTGATTGTTAAGGGGTTCAGAAAAATCTTCAATGGCTCTTTTCAGATTTTGTTTTACCTCTACCAGAGATGGGTTGTAGACGAGTTACTTTTAGGATTACCTTGAGGCGCAACACGTTTACTGTTAACTGTGTATTTTCTTTTCTTTTTTGTGTAACAGTAATCTTATTTGAGTACAATTTCTGACTGCTCATCTCTAGTTATTTCATGACTCATGAAAAAACTTGTTTAATCCAAAAATCTCAGAAAATACGCAAAATCAGCTCCATTGTTAAAATTCCCATTGTTTGCCTAAACCTCTTGGACTCACTTTTCCTGAAGAGAAGCAGATCTTTAAAAAAAGGCTTTTGACACAATATTGAGCCTTTTTATTCAGAATGGAATCCTATTTAAGTTCATACTATATATCTGCAAACCAAAGTGAACCAGTATTTTTGGCAAACAAAGTGTCTTAAA